AAGACAGACCACGTTCCAGGCCACAAAACAAAGCCCAACAAATTTCATAAAACAGAAATCCTATGTCTGCCTTCAGACCACAGTGGGATTGAACTAGAAATCAGTAACAGAAACATAACGAAAATCCCAAAATACATCAATAAATAACACACTTCTAAAAAAAAAAAAAAACCACAGGTCAAAAAAGAAATCTCAAGAGAAATTTTAGAATGTTTTAAACTAAATGAAAATGATAATGCAACTTATCAAAGGTTGTGGGATGCAGCCAAAGCAGTGCTCAGAGGGAAGTGTATAGCACTGGATGCACACCGTAGAATGGAAGAAAGATCTAAAAATCAATAATCTATATTTCCACCTTAAGAAACTAAAAAAAGGACAAATTAAATCCAAAAATAAGTAGAAAAAAAAGAAATAATAATTAGACTGGAAACCAATGAAACTGTCAACATGAAATAGGAAAAAAAAAAAAATCAATGAAACCAAAGCTGGTCCTTTGAAAACATCAATCAATTTAATAAGCCTCTAGCAGGATAAGAAAAAAAGAGAAAACACAAAGTACCAATATCAGAAATGAAATGGGACATCATTACAGATCCCATAGAAATTAAAAGGATAATAAATACTGTAACATAAATGTGGATAACTTAGATGAAATGGACCAATCCCTCGAAAGACACAATCTGCCAAAAGTCACACAAGGAAAAAAAAAAGATCTGAGTAGTCCCATATCTATTACAAATACTGAATCAATAATAACCTTCCAAAACAGAAAGCACCAGGCCCAGATGAGTCCACTGGTGAATTCTACCTAGCATTTAAGGAAGAAATTATACCAATCCCGTCCAATCCCTTTCAGAGGATAGAAGCAGAGAGAATACTTCCTAACTCACCTATGAGGCCAGGATTCCCCTAATACCAAAATCACAAAAAGACATTAAAAGAAAGCTACAGACCAATGTCTCTCATGAACACAGATGCAAAAATCCTCAACAAAATATTAGCAAATCAAATCCAACAATATATAAAAAGAATTATACCTTACAACCAAGTGGGATTTATCCCAGCAATGCAAGATTCACTCAACATTTGAAAATCTATTAATGTAATCCATCGCATCAAAACACTAAAAATAAATCACATAATAGGTTCATATCAATAGATGCAGAAAAAGCATTTGACAAAATGCAACTCCCATTCATGATAAAAACTCTCAGTAAACTAGAAATAGAGGGAACTTTCTCAACTTGATAAAGACTATCTACAAAAATCCTACAGCCAACATCATATTTAATAGTAAGAAACTCAAAGCTGTCCCACTAAGATGAGGTACAGGGCAAGGATGTTCCCTCTTACCACTCCTTTTCAACACTGTACCAGAAATCCTTGCTAATGTAATAAGGCAAGAAAAAGAAATTAAAAGTATACAAATTGGGAAGAAAGACAAAACTGTCTTTGTTCAAGATGACATGATCATCTATGTAAAAACTCTGAAAGAATAAGCAAAATCTCCTGAAATTAATAAGCAGTTATTAGTGACGTTGCAGGATACAAGATTAATATACAAAAGCCGATTGTTTTCCTATATACAGACAATGAACAAGTGGAATTTGAAATTAAAAACACAGTATTATTTACATTAGCACCCTTGAAAATGAAACACTTAGATGTGAATCTAAAAAAATATAAGTAAGATCTATGTGAGGAATACTACAAAACTGATGACTGAAATCAAAGAGGAACAAAATACTGGAGAGATATTCCATGTTCATGGGTAGGAAGACTTAATATTGTCAAGATATCAGTTCTCCAAAATTGATCTATAGATTCAATGCAATCCCAATCGAAATCCCAGCAAGTTATTTTGTGGATATCGACAAACTATTTCTAAAGTTTATATGGAGAGGCAGAAGACCCAAAATAGCCAACATGGTACTGAAAGAGAAGAACAAAGCTGGAGGATGACATACTTGACTTTAAGACTTAGTATAAAGCTACAGTAATTAAGACAGTGTGGTGTTGGAGAAAGAACAAATACATCAATGGAACAGAAAAGAGAACTCAGAGATAAACCCCATAAATACAGTCCACTGATCTTTGACAAAGGAGCAAAGACAGTCTCTTCAACATATGGTGCCAGAACTGGACATCCACATGCAAAATCATGAATCTAGACACAGACCTTGCACTCTTCACAACAATCAACTCAAAATGGGTCATAGACCAAAATGTAAAATGCAAAACATCTAAAACTCCCAGAAGATAACACAGAAGACCTAGATGACCTTGGGTGTCATGATGCCTATTTAGATACAACACCAAAGACACAATTCATGGAAGAAATAATGATCAACTGGACTTCGTTGCAAGTAAAACCTTCTGCTCTGGAAAGACAAGATCAAAAGAATTTGAAGACAAGCCACAGACTGGGATAAAATATTTGCAAAAGACACATCTGACAAAGGACTCTTATCCAAAATATATAAAGAACTCTTAAAACTCACCAATGAGAAAATAAATAACTCAGTTAAAAAGTGGTCCAAAGACTGGGTGTTATATAAGACTGATGAATCACTGAACTCTACCTCTCAAACTAATATATTATATGTAGATTGAATTTAAAGAAAAAAATTAAAAAAAAAAAGTGGGCCAAAGACCTTAACAGGCACCCCACCAGAGAAGATATAGGATGCCAAATAAGCATACAAAAAGATGCTCTGTGTCATATGTCATCAGGGAAATGCAAATTAAAACATCAGTGAGCCACCACCACACATCGAGAAGAATGGCCAAAACCTGGAACACCAAGAACACCACATGCTGGTGAGGATGCAGAGCTCATTCACTGATGCCTGGAATGCAACATGGTGTGGCCACTTTGGAAGACAGTTTGGCGGTTTCTTACAAAAGTGTGCATACTCTTACATACAATCCAGCAGTCATGCTCCTTGGCATTTACCCAAAGGAGCTGAGAACTTATGTCCACACAAAAACCTGCACGTGGATGTCTATAGCAGCTTTGTGCATAATTGCCAAACTTGGCAGCAACAAAGATGTCCTTAGGTGAGTGAATGGATTAATAAACTGTCTATATCTAGACAATGTAATATCATTCAGCACTAAAAGCAGATGAGCTGTCAGGCTGAAAAGACACGGAGGAACCTTATATGCATATCACCAAGTGAAAGAAATCAATGTGAAAAGGCCAATATTCTATGATTCCAACAAAATGGACATTCTGGAAAAAGCAGAACTATGGAGACAATGAACAGATCAGTGACGGCCAGTGGTGGGGCTGGGGGGTGGGAGCGAGACAAATAAGCAGAGCATGGAAGATTTTAAGGGCCATGAAAAATCCTCCGTGTGATACTATAATAGCTGGACACACGTCATCATACCTGTGTCCAGATCCACAGGACGCACGACAGCAAGTGTGACCCTAACATACACGACGGACTTTGTGTCAGTACAATGCGTCAGTGCAGGCTCATCCTTGGTAAAAAATATACCACTCCGGTGATCATGGGGGTGGGATACACATGTGTGCGGCAAGGGATGTACAAAAAATCTCTATTTTCCACTCAATTTATCGTATACCTAAAACTGCTCTAAAAAACTAAGTATTAAAAAAAGACAATTTGGGGGAACCTGGTGGCTCAGTTGGTTAAGCATCTGACTCTTGGTTTTGGCTCAGGTCATGATCTCAGGGTCATGGGAGCGAGCCCTGTGTGAGACTCAGTGCTGGGTGTGGCATCTGCTTGAGCTTCTCCCTCTCCCTCTGCCCCTCCCTGCTGGCCCCCAACCTCCCTCTCTAAAGAAAATAAAAATAAAAAATAAAAGAACAAGATACTTCCATGCGTGTCAGCCTGTGAATACCCTGAAGACATTAAAAGAAAAAAAAAGGAAAATGCAATTAAAAAGTGGACAAAGGATCTAAGGGGAGGTCTCTGCAGAGATCTATAAATGGCAATCCGCACATGAAGTCGCTCAGTATCATGAGTCACTAGGGAAATGCAAATCCCAACTACGAGACTCCACTTTACCAGGGGGATGGTGAGGACCAGAAAGACAGGGGACCGCAACTTGACCCACGCTGGCGGGTACGCACTGCGTCCCCAGAAGGTCACACCCAGAGTTACCATCCGGTCCGGCAGGGCCACCCCTAGTGCGACCCAAGAGAGACGAAAACACGCCCCACAGAACCCGTACCCAGTGTTCGCAGCAGCGCCACTCCTAAGAGCATGGCCGTCAAGGGCAGAAAGGACACGCACAGTGTGGTCTGCCCACAGAACGGACACACGAGGTCCCGACCGAGGCTATGGTTCTGGGGGGGCCCGCAAGCATGAGCTGGGCTCGTCTCCCGGGGGGCATTCACTGGAACCGTGCCGGACAGGCAAAGCCGCGGAGACAGAAAGCGCATCAGCGGTTGCCGAGGGTGGCCAGGAAGCGGGAAGGGGCTGCTAGTGGGTGCTAGGGTTCCTGTTCGGGGGATGAGAGTGTCCTAAAATTGGCTGCGGTGACGGCTGTTCAGCTGTGTGCACTAAAAACCACCAAACTGCACGTTGTAAATGGGTGAACGGTATGGCACGTGAATTATATCTCAACCAAGTATTTCACACACACACACACACACACACACACAGCCCCGGGGGCCTGGGAAGGGGACTGGCCCCCTGGGAAGACGCTCCGGCTCCGCAGCCTGGGAGCCTCGTGACCTCGGACGAGGACTCTTCCCGGGCCAGTTTCTGTTTCTGCAGCATGTCGGCCCTATGACCTAGCTCACAGAGTCAAGCTAGTGAAAACAAACCCCGGGTGTGAGCACGTCTGGCTCAGGACAAGGTGTGCAACAGACCCTCTACATGGGCTAAAGAAATAACCCAGCACCTGAAAGGACCTTGTCAGCGACAGATGCAAGGTGCTTGCAGAATTTCATGCACAAAATTGTAACACGTTATCAGAAATAACCCACGTTCAGTTTCATACTTTGCTTTCCAAAGACTCACTTGAGCTCAGTGCCCCACTGTTTGAAAGAGAAATTAATGGAATTTGGGTGCCCGGGGGCCGGCTGGTGAGCTGCTGCCTCTCCTACCAGCCCTCCGGGGGTGGCTTCCACAGCGAGGACATTCCTGGCTTTCTCTGCAGAAGCATCCGGATGTGAGCAAATTACATCTGAAAGACAGGCAAACAAAGGTCAGTCCTCAACGCTTCCATGTGGAACTCCGTATCCTACGTGAGACACGGACCCGCGCACAATCAGCCATGGGACGGGACCCGTGGTGGCATCAGCGTTCTGCAACTGTTTTCACCTCAAGCACCTCCATGTTTGTGAGGTGCTTCAAAGGCCCCAGGGCCGCGGTCCCCTGCGCGGTCTCGCAGATGAGCAAAGCGGCAGGAAGCTGTGGCCAAGGTCCACTCGCCTGTGCTGATAAGGGACAACTGGGATCATTATATAGAAAAGCAAAGTGCAGATCAGATCATACGAACACTCTGCCTCTACGAAAACGGGCGAATGGGAGTATTCCATACACATTTGCTAACATCGGCAGTGGTGACCCGTGGAAGCAACTTCGCACGTCCCAGAGGAGCGGCTCAGAAAAGGCAAACACTGGCGCTAAAGCGTGATCACATCTCAGAATGGTTTCAAAACGTAAGCTTTTGAAATACCGAATGTTGAAACGGTTGACGTGTAGGATTTGCTTTAAAATAAGAATATCTGGTTATTTAACAGTAATATTTGCTTCAAAATAACAAAGTGGGTAGGGGTGTCTGGGAAACCAGATGGGTCCATGAGATAGTAATTTTGGAAATCACCCAGGAAACGTGGGGTAATATTACAGGTTCTTTCTTTGCATAAAACTCCCCGTAATAAGAACTTCTTTTAACATTCTGAAAAAATGTCCCCAGCTGCAAATACTTTGTATTCTCCACAGTGGATCCTCTCCCTGAGAGCAGGGCATGTCTGTAAACAGAGGCCAGCCTGCCCTACATGTCCCTTTCACAAAGTGCCCCTACTCTGGCCGCATCGACCCTCACTCTCCCTGTGAAGCAAAATCAGAACAGCGTGCTGAGCACGGACACCGAGGAAAATGCAACTTCTCGTGAGAGGAGCGTCGGATCCGAGCAGCTCAGGACGGTGTCCGCGGAGGGCCGCAAGCGCCGGCAGGGGAGCCAACCTCACCCACGGGCTCTTGCAGCAGAGGCGGGGCACCAAGTGACCAGGTAGCGTGGGAGGGGCTCTGAGAACTCGCGGGGAAAGCACACCGCGTGTGACGGAAAGAAGTGAGGGCCGTGTCTGTCGGGGGAGCTTGGCTGTGGCCCAGAGCGGGGTCCTGAGTGGGAGAAGCAGAAGGGGCACTGGGAGAGAGATCAGATTCCCGATTCTTGGTTTGAATTACCACCCCACGGTGAGCACGGTGTACAGCCAACCACGAGAACACACATCTAGGAAGGACACATAAAGTAACAGAAGGTCACGCAGAAGCAGGGAGCCCCTGGAACCCGGAGCCTGGGACCTCAGAGGGAGCGGAGGAAGGACCCCGCCCATGGCTGCAACCACGGCAGCTCCTCACCCCTCCTTCAGACTGCAGCTCCCGAGATTTCACTTGGAAAGAGTTCCAATAAACAAAAAACAAGGTCAAGCACTGGGAACCAGGTCCAGCTCCCCGGCCCTCACAAGACAGACCCCACACAGCAGGTGCCGTGACCGTCCCTGTGAGGACGGGCGGCCAAGCTCGGGCTTCCCAAGGGCTGGTCCTCGCAGAGCTCACAGCGAAGCTCCACAGGCTGGGCCAGGACGTGGACGTGGGGCCTGGGGCTCCTGCCTGCTGCGCTTGGGCCAGCCTCTTGAGAGCTTCTGTGGGGCTGGGGACAAGGTGAGCGGCGGCCCCACTGTGGGCGCCAACTGTCAACCGCTCTTGTGAAGCACCTTCTGCCCAGAAAACCCCAGGCCCTGCGGCCCCCCTGGGCTGGACTGCAAATGCTTCCTGAGGACAGCGAGGCGCAGGGGCCTGCTGGAGACAGGGATCCAGGGGCCGGGGAAGGTGCTGTCAGAACACACCGTCTCCAAAAGTTATTACTCCATGTGAAAAAGCAGCAATTCCCCATTTTTGCTATTACTGTCATTTTGCCTTGTCTTTGGTTTTTAAATGACTGCGTGACCGTTACTTAATTAGAAGCAGAGCCGCTGGCGTCTCCCGCATCCGCACATCCGGATTCAGGAGCCGCCCGGACGGGGACACAAACTAGGTCACAGCAGGGTTTCCCTGCGGTCCTGCCGGGAGCCACGGGACCTGCCAGCCTCAGTTGGGAAACCATCTGTGCTCAAGCCTGATGGCGTTCAGATGCTCTCCGCTCCTTTCCAACATTTTCCAAACGCAACTCCGACGCGTCCTGACAGCAGGGCTCCCTCTCCTCTCCCGCTGCCTCGACCCGGCCAGGACGCTGGGCCGTCCATGAAAGGGGGACAGCCACGGGAGAAGGCCCTTTCCACAGGCGGCACGGAACATGTCTCTGTGGGAGCCGGAGGACAGAGCAGGCTCAATGGGAAAACGTTTCTGTCCCCTTTATCAGAGTGAGTTTTAACCCAGATGATGGAGGAGCGATCAGAGCTGGAAGAAAATCTCCTAAGCGGGGCAGAGTGCATGCCCAAGCACCAAAAAGGAGGGGCTCTCTGGGCCCCCAGCAGGCTGGCCCACGCATCCTGCCCGGCTGCTCCCGCCATGGGCATAAGCCTTGTGACCAGCAGCTAGCAGAGAAGAGGGGCTCATATGCACTGGGGAACCCGACCATGGACGAACAAAAGACGGAGTGATGAGGAGCTGGGGCAGGAGGCCCTATACTTCCCCGCAGGGCTCATGGGTCTCCCTTGTGAACTACCTCCCCTGCCACCTACCTTTGAGAGACCCCGGAGTCGGGTGGGGCCCACACCTGGCAGATGACTTCCCTCTCCTGCCTGTACCACCTCCCCACCTTCTGCAAACTTTTCAGACCCCAGCCTCTGCACCAACATGCGCCCAGCTCACCTGCACCCCCTCCGCCCCAGCATCACCAACCCAGCTCACCTACACCCCCTCGACCCTCAGCATCACCAACCCAGCTCACCTGCACCCCCTCCACCCTCAGCATCACCCACCCAGCTCACCCGCACCCCCTCCGCCCTCAGCATCACCCACCCAGATCACCTGCACCCCGTCCGCCCTCAGCATCACCCACCCAGCTCACCTGCACCCCCTCGACCCTCAGCATCACCAACCCAGCTCACCTGCACCCCCTCCGCCCTGAGAATCACCAACCCAGCTCACCTGCACACCCTCCGCCCTTAGCATCACCCACCCAGCTCACCTGCACCCCCTCTGCCCTCAGCATCAATCCAGTTCACCTGCACCCCCTCTGCCCACAGGAACACCCACCCAGTTCACCTGCACCACATTCTCCTCCGCCCATAGCCGGGCTTCAAGGAGGCCCCTCCCAGGTACAACTAGAAGCCATCCTCATACACTTTCTCAGCCTGATGTGAGGCCACAAGGAGCCTCAGAGGACATCCTGTTCACACATGGGGAAATGGTGTGTGCCCAAGTCCTACGAGCTCTCCCCACTGGGACCGGCTGCCCCTTGGGCACCACGCGAGAGTCACCGAGACGTACACTTCCAAACAACACGTAGCATTTGCAGTACTTTACAAATGGGGTCACAGAGAGAAGCACAGCCTCTCTGATCAGCTCACCAGGTGACATGTGAAACGAGTACGTGGAGCCGCCACAGTCTGCCGGGCTGGGTCTGCATCCTGCCCCATGTGGGGCTTCCCTCTGCCAGCTGCAGTCCTTGCACAGACCGTGGGGCCAAAAGGAGCAGCCGCCGCCCGCCCGCCCGAGAAGGAAGTGTGTGGTCTCCCCTCAAACCGTCCTGCCATTTTCTGCAGGAAGCACCTGCCGTGCTCTGACAGGTACTTGGGCACTCAAGAGCCTGTGACCATGCTTCCGTGGTCCCCAACTTGTAGGAAGTCTCAAAAGACAAGGTGTTGTCATCCCTGGCTGTTTGCTTATCAGTCTACATGGGAAGTGAGCTCAGCAAAACGAACTGCGTGCAGCTCCTGGAGCGGGGCCGTCAGCCTCCTGTGCTTGCTTCCTGTGCTCTGGCTGTCTCATGCCTGGCAGCTGGGAAAGGCTCTGAACCCTGCACTTCGTCTTCGCCAAGTATTCCTTTGTGTGGAAACTAGGTCTTTACCATGCAGGTGCGGGGACGTGTGGGGTCCGTGTGCGTACAGCACAGCGCTCCCGCGGGGTGCAGCCAGGCGGGGACGTGCGGGGTCCGTGTGCGTGCGGCACAGCGCTCCCGCGGGGTGCAGCCGGCCGAGGACGTGCGGGGTCCGTGTGTGTGCGGCACAGCGCTCCCGCGGGGTGCAGCCGGCCAGGGACATGCGGGGTCCCGTGTGTGTGCGGCACAGCGCTCCCGCGGGGTGCAGCCGGCCAGGGACGTGCGGGGTCCATGTGCGTGCGGGGCCAGGCTGCGGGGAGCAAGCAGGCGGAGACGTGCAGAGTGCAGGCAGGCGGAGCAGACAGACACAGCCAAGCCATCCCTCCTGTGCAGCCTGACGAATGTCAAGCGGCAAATCCCAGTCACGACACAACAGACTCCTATGCAGAGGAGGCGAACTCTGGAGAAGGAATGTTCCCTAGGCCAGCCGTAGGCCAGCGGGTGACAGTGCTGCTCCAGGGCTCCCTGCAGCTTCCCTCCTCGCAGCTTCCTTCCTCACAGACGCTGCTGTGGACGGTGGCCATGCGCCCTGCCTCCCCGCTCCCTCCCTGGCTGGGGACGGCCACGCGCCCACCCCCTGCGAAGGAGGGACAGACTGAGGGCGGGGGCCGCCTCGTTTCCGACCCCCGGGGCACCGGCAAGAGGGAACTGGGAAAGTCCACCCACTTGGGACTGACGGCGAACAGCGCCTCAAGAGACAAACACATCCCTGTGAGTCAGGTTCCCCACTGACTGCAGCTGAACGTAATCCTCGCCAACTCAATTTCAACATACTTTTACATGTAATGCAGTCGCCCATCTGCCCCTCATGACAGGACTGCGAGGGGTGGACAGGTGGTTCGCATTCCAGCCCCCTGCCGGGCCTCCCCTCCCTCCCACCTGACCCACCTCCAAATCCTCCAGCCCTTCCACCATGCCCCTGCCCCCCCCGCCAGAACTGTGGCCACCATGGCTTCCAGCCCGATCCCAGCCTCATCCCACTGACCGGTCCCCTCCCCAGCACTCAGCACATCCCAGCCGTCGCTCACCCTGCTCTCCCTTGTCTGGTGGTGCTCCCCCCGGGTCTGACCCCCGACCATCCATCCTGCTTCCTCTCTGGCCTCTCGCTCCCGCTGGACCTCCTTCTGCATCCCTGGCCGGCCTCATGGCTGCGCCATGCTCCTCAGAGCTGCCTGCACCGGCCTAGGCCCCTCACCCGGCCATGCACTCCTCGAGAGCACAGACTGTGACTTCTCAGTCCTTAGACCCCACCACCCAGACCACAGACTGTCGGAGTGGGGCATGCTCTCCATCCCGCTGATGAGCAGACCAAGGCTCAGACAGACAGACGCGCCAGGGGCAGTGGAGCAGGGCTCGGCAGACTTGCCGGCGGCCCAGGTGGTAGTACCTACTTTCAGCTCGGGGCCCCAGGGCCGCTTCAGCGGATGGAGCTTCCTCCCAAGATGCACAACCGCCTGCCCACCACAGCTGTCCACTCCTGCGACGTCAGGGCCCGCGGGTGCTGGCGGGACAGCATGGGACGAAAATGAGAATGCCCCAAACAAGGGGCAACGAGGTCAGAAGACGAGAAAAACTTTATTTTTAATACAAACCTGAGTTACAAACACCCTTTGGTCTAGCGCCCTGGGTCTGTCAGACGTACTCCGTCCTCAGAATAAAGGAACCGGGGCATCGTGCTGGCTTGGTCACTAGAACGTGTACCCCTCCATCTCAAGGCTGAGCTCCACGTTGGGCGTGGAGATTATAAATCACTAAACTTTAAGACTAAAGGAACGGACAGACGGTGTGTGCCCCACCCCCGAGGCACCGGCGGGGTCACGAGTGTGCTCAACAAGACTGAGTCATGCAGCTGCTTCTGGTCAAAACCCCTAGGAGAGCGGCTTTCAAACACCCGGCAGAACTGTGCACGAACACAGAAGTGCCCCCTTGGCTCTCGGTGTCCTCAGGGTGTGGATGCCCCTGAGAACGACATGAGGACCTCACGGGAGTGCGTGTGGACAGGTGTGACCATGTCACTGACCGCGGGGTCTGGCTGTAGACCCCGCTGTGGCTGTCGAGCACACGGTGGGCAGGGCAGCAGGGGCCTGCAGGGGTGGGGCTCTGTGGGCATCTGCTTCTGGAACAAGGCGGCTGTGGCTTGCAGGGATCTTGACGGAGCCTGTGCTCTGGGGAGCAGAAGGTCCCGTAGGCGTCAGGAAGTGCAGACCTCACCTCTTTGTAGGCGAGAGAACCAGCCCTCACTGGCTGGGCCCTGACGTGTGCACCTGTCAGCCTGACTTCAGGACCCCGTGGCCTGCCCTCTCCCACGAGGAAGGCAGGAGCCCCAGCGCCGGCCCAGCGCACAGCCCCGGCATGGACGGTCAGCAAGAGAATGCTGCTCAACACAACCCAGCACGAAGATGCCGTGGTGTTTCACTGCCTCGATATTCAAACAAAAAGACCCATTATCTCTACAGTGAGACTGGGAATTCGCAAGAGTTGTTGAAATGCCACAAACCTAGAATAAAATCGAATTGGTTAAAGTCTCCTTGGGGAGATGTTGGGAGCACAGGCTTTGAGGACAAAGCGCGTACAAATGTCTGGGAACGCGTTGGTGGGGCGGGGGGCGGGTGCTTCACCTTCGTGGGGGGGGGCACATGCAGGCAACACAGGGGTCATCATCAGGCTTGAATACGACTCCATACATGGAAGCCCCCGGAAAGCAGGGACCACCACCGTTGGAAAGAGATCATTGCTACTTTGGTTCAGAACGTCCATCCAGCTGACCTGCCGTGGAAAACGGCTGTGCACGAGGAACAGACGCGGGTCCCCCCACCTGTGACTTACCTGAGTTATCTCTGGCTACAAGACCCTTAGAGAAATCCCCCGGGGTCGGGGAGGCCCTGCTGTCCCACTTCACCATGTCCAGACTGCTGCAATACTCCCACCGCTTCTGCTGGAGCTCCTGCAGCCAGTAGGTCATGAGCTGACGATTAGGAGCCTGCAAAGACGGAAGCGGAGAGAGCGTTACGGCCACACCGCGGGACGGGCGGACGCGCCCTGCCCCGTGGACGGTGCTGGTAGGAAGCACAGGTCAAAGACTTCACCATCGGGACAGGCAGCCACTGCTCATGCAAGCGGGCGGAGCAAACAGCAAGGACAGCGGGAATTCAGCCCCGGTGAGAAACCCTCCTGCCTGTGGGGCCTGGAATTCCAGGACCACAGAACACCGTCCGCAGATGGTTTCAGGACGGCTGATGTTCTCGCTGACCCTGCACGCGGGGCACGCACAACGTCCGTCTAGAGAGCTCACACCTCGCTCAGGCAGGGGTGGAGTCCGGGCCTCGCCATGTCAAATAACCGTATTTCCACCTGTTAGCCTCTGGGAGGGCGCCAAAGGACACGGCAGGCTGGAAACCAGAGGGCGTGTCGGATGGGTAAAACTTTTTAAAATTGACACCAAGTGCCGGGAAGGGTGCTGGGCCGCAGGCCCTGTCGAGAACCTCTCCCAGTGCCCCCACATGGCAGGCACACGACAGATCTGCTTGAACGGGAATCCTCGGTTTAAAGGGGAAAATCTGGCCGGGGAACAGTTAGCAACCTTGTGATCCTCTCTCACTAAATTCCCCAGGCAAAAACAAACATTAAAGTCACATGCTTTCAATGTCTGACCTGTTATTCATGTTACAGAAATCTGGTCAATACAGCAGGGAAAACCGCCTCGAGGCAATGATTAACTGGGGCTCCTTCCCTTTTTAAAAATCTGGAAAGCGCTGAAAGCATGTCGATGTCGATCCTGAGCAGACCTCGCCCCGACCTGATTAGATCACAATCACTAACGAGGCTCTCGGTCGCCCCGGGTTCAATCTGGGTTCAACACAGAAAGTCCCTCCAGATCTGCCCAGCACAGCCTCCACTGGACACATGAGGCCACAGAGCACGGGAAATGCAGCGGGCGCCACACGACGGAATACTCTGGATACATCACATTATCTCACCTACACTTGAAAACTTAAAGCATGGGGGCGCCTGGGTGGCTCAGTCGTTAAGCGTCTGCCTTCGGCTCAGGTCATGATCCCAGGGTCCTGGGATCGAGCCCCACATCGGGCTCCCTGCTCAACGGGGAGCCTGCTTCTCCCTCCGGCCTGCCACTCCCCCTGCTTGTGCTCACGTTCTCTCTCTGACAAATAAAATCTTAAAAGAAAAAAAAAAAGGAAACTTAAAGCACGTATATCATGGTTCATACCATGTGTGTCTCAACTGTGCTACTCTGGACTGTGATGGTAAATGCAGACCATTTTGGGAGCCAAGGTTGGTGGGAAGGCCACCGGGTGGGAAGCAGCCTTGGGGATTGAAGTGGAGGCCAAGGGCATCAGGCAGCCTCCACTTCTCCCCTCCCACAGGACTATAGGACTCAAGGTGACTTCTTTGTCCTTTAACCATGGAGATGCCAACGCTCTTTAGGGACCAACGACGAGTCCGGCTAGTCTGGCTGATGGCTCACAGTTTCAATACCTCCTCTGCCCTTCTCCAATGGGGCAAGTAGGACCCTCAAGCGATGTGACATCACAGAACATCATCTCCATGAGCCCATCACCAGGAGTGCCCTTCACTGAGCCCCAGCCCAGCTGAAGCCTATCACCACCGCACCATATCTGCCCGGCACCTGCCAGCCAGAGGGATGGGCAGCAGGACTGGGAGACAGGATCTGCCCCCTACCCCCAATTTACAATGCTCTAATCCCAAATTCTGGAGAGCCAGATGGGCATTCTAATCATGGTGGAAGGCGCAGAGCCAAGGCTCAGCTCAGCAGGTGCCTGTGGGAGCCAAGGGTCCAGCAAGAGGCCAGGTACCAGTATCTGCCATCAGAAGACTCGCGAGGGCCATACCCTAGGTCTCCCAGAACACTGTCTCCCCAACTCCTATACATCCTTCAAAGCCCAATGCAAATGTTACCTCCAGAGGAGATTTCCACGACCTGAGCCTGCATGTTCTCTCTATCCTCTGAACGGGATGACACTGCATACCCCAGGTCAGCTTCCCACAGAGGGCGGCACACACCTCATGTGCTCCTCATTAGCCTGAGTTCCCTGAAGGCAGAGGTCAGACCTGCTGCTCTCAACGCAGTCCAAGATGCCTGACGCACTCAGATATCCGACTCTCCCCTCGTGTCTAGCTGCTCCCACTGCCCCAAGGCTGCTAATCCCAGTCCCAACACGAGCCACACAGAACATCTTGGAAAGCTATTCTGGTGGTCCCTACCCAGCCACACGAGCTGTGGGCCAGGGGACAGACTTGCACTGGGCGGGCATGGTCCTGATGTGAGACATCTGCTGCATTTAGGTGCCATGTCAGGTCAGGTCAGAGAATGAAAACAGGCCACCCACATCCAGCCGGACGTGAACTTGAGTCCTCAGTGGCTGAGAAGAACCACACGGTGCCCCAGCTGCTCCCACAGACTTAGTCCCCAGGCCTCCACCGGCCCCAAACCCAGAAGCCCACACTTGGGGAGAAGGGCCCCAGCCCCTGCCCCTTCCCCTGGACACTCCCCCAAGCCTGGCTCTCTCCCTGGGGCGCAGAAAAGTCCTATAATAAGGTCATCTGGTCACAAGTGAGTTCATTCAGGGCCCACTCCCAGCAGGTGGGCGTGTTCCTGGGGGAGGGGCTGGTATAGCGACCCAGCAGCATCATGGGCGTCGGGCGCCGTCCCCTACCCACATTCCCACCATGCGACCCCCTGGGCCAAGCTCTGCACCCCGGGTTCTCCGGCCCTGTGGGAAGGAACCTCCACCCACCGAACCTCAGCACACGGAAGAAGCCGCACAAAGCTCATCCCCTTTGACCCAACGTCATTCCTGAGCATCTATCTGAAGTAATCCAAAAGAAGGAAAAGGGAAAAATGCCACATACACAAAAACGTTTGTTCATTTGCTCGGCAAATATTTACCAAGCGCCTAACTTAGGCCAAGTGCCGCCATCCACGCCGGGGACACAGAACTGGGTGCGACCGGGTTGATTCTTGCCTCAGCCACACCCAGTGAGCAAAGGGTTTCCTTTCCAACAGTAATAAACAGCTAGAAACACGTTCCTAATTTCAACCAAAATACAAAATGCCTGGCCTAAGAAACCCTCGTACATTACGGAAACTTTCCAAAAATCCAGTCAACATTCTAAAGTAAAACTCACCTAAATTTCAACCTTCAAGAGTTCTGGACAAAACAAAGGAGGCGTGGGGCTCTGCCCTTCCAAGCAGGGAGGCCATGAGGAAGGCGCAACTGGCCCGGTGTGCGTCCGGGACTCCAGCGGGGAGCCGAGCAGGTATCGAATGCAGCATCCCAAACAAGATCAGAAGGAGAAGTAGTCATTATTAAACAATGGCCTTAGGACAACCGGTTAGAAATTTGCAAATAAAATGAATTCAAATTTGATTCCAGATTTGAATGGCCATAAAAGTCGTTTAAAGCACCCAAAGAAAATGCCTACGTAATTAAGTTTCTGTCTCTTTCTGCATCCCACAACAGCCACGTAGAATTCCGCGCTTTTCAAAGGTGCGCACAGCGGGTCTGACTCTGGACTTTAAACCCACTGAGTGGCAGGCGCAGTCCACACAGAAGCTTCCAGCAGAGATATGAGCTCCAGCACCGCTGGCGGCCACCACCAGGGCTGCGTGCACCTGGGAAGGCCAAGCGCTCTTCCAAGGCTGAGCCCCAGACTGAAGGCCAGAGGGACTGACCTTCGAGGGCTGCTTCCCGCACGCGGCCCCGGGAGCCGGCTCCGGGCAGGAAGTGTGGGTTTCACAGGGCTGATTATTCTCCCCAGAAACAAAGGGGAGGTTGCTACTGCAACAATCCTATTCTCTTGGAACGGAAAGACCTTTCTAATCCCAAAAAGCAAGGCAGTAGAGAAAATGTCTGTCTGTCCAAAAACTCCACCACACCACCCAGAATTAAACGACAAATGACAAACGGAGACAGAGAGCAAACAACCTGCGGGGGGCGGAGGTGCACGCAGCCAGCACTCATCCACGCCGCGAGGATCCCTGCCTGCCTGGGAGCTCCCGTTCACCTTCGTTAACAAATACCACAACATATTGTAGACTTTTATTTCAAATAATAGTAACAACCCACGTTTACTGTGCAAACTCTGCAAAACGCAGAAAAAAAGAGAAACTGACCGCAACCCTGTCACCAGACATGACGTCATGCACACTTCGCTGGGAGTCCTTCCAAACATTCTTCTGTCCCCAGACACCCATCCCGCTTTCCTTCACACAACCGAACACAACACACCGGCTGTGATGTGTCCACACGCTTGCAACAGCGCCAGGCATTGTCAGGGGCGCCATCACCACATGCCGGACAGTGGACTGAACGCGGGGCACACGCGGTCACCGGAAGCGCACAACTGCCAGACAGCAGTACCCACGTGCCCCCGGGGTTAGGCACCAGGGCTGGGAGCCGGACATCCGGGCTCACGCCCCGCGTGCCATGAGCGGGGGTTACAATGCCCCCCGGGAAGGCGTGAGCAACAACAGTAACGCACTTGCAGCCCGCGGCTCTGAGGGTTAAGTCAGCTCATCAGGGCGCCTCCTCCCTGGGCGTGGCGATCCGCGTCTCCACCATCACCTGAGACCTCACAGTCGGTGCTGGCTCCGTGGAGATTCAGACCGGGGTCTGGGTTCCTTGCTGTCACACAGAGGAGGAGGGAGGAGCGCACGCCCGTCTTCCCAGCATCCCAGCGGGACTCAAGCTCCGCACGGTTTTCCTTGAATGCTGGGAGGCTGACCGTGAGCCTCTGTGGGCGTGCGGGGTCCTCGGCGAGGACAGCTGGTCTCCCCGCCAGCGCCGGCGGCCCTCAGGACACACAGCAGGGTGGGCACCGCTGCACCGGGTCAGGGAGAGTGCTGCCACGGGTCCACAGGGGCCCCACGATCCCGCGCTGAAGACATTTCTCACAGACAGACTGCAGGGAAACCGCGCTCCAGCCCGAAGGAGTCACCAG